AACAAGGAAGCAGCAGCTGTTGCTGCTCTCCCACCAGAAGTGCAGCATTTGCTGCAGGACACCGAAAGTACTTATAGGTAAGGAGACACCTGCTGCTGCTGTTGCTGCTGCAGTTGCTGCTGCTGCTGCTGCTGCTGCTGCTGCAGGTGCTACTGGTTGTTGCAGCTATTACTGCTGCTGCTGTTTCTGCTACTATTGCTACTGCTCTTGCTGCTCCTCGTACCGCTCTTCTTGCTGCTGTTATAAATTCTTATACCGCTTACTGCTGCATCTGCTGCTGCTGCTTCTGCTGCTGCATCCGCTGCTGTTGCTGCTGCAGGGCCCGTCGTGACGCTGTATATAAGTTACGATTGGGTAAGATGGATATATTATGTTCTTTATTAGATCTAAATTGTTACGAAGCAGCGCAGCAGCTGCTGCTGCATTATGCAGGAAAGTTGCTGCTGCTCCCCTCTCTTAATGGTAGAGTACATACAAGTCTTGTTAATTATATCACGTAAGTTACTGTGCTGTCTCCTTTGCTGCTGTCTCCTTTGCTGCTGTCTCCTTTGCTGCTGTCTCCTCTGCTGCTGTCTCCTCTGCTGCTGTCTCGTTTGCTGCTGTCTCCCTTACTGTCCTATTGGTGTCTCCTTTTGCTGTCTCCTTTGAGTCATCATTATCCCCTAGTGTCTCCTCCTGTCTCCTTTTGTCCTAACCCCCATCTCCGTCTCCTGCTTTTGCTGCTGTCTGCTGCTGCTGCTGTTTGCTGCTGCTGCTGCTATTGTCTCCTCAGTTGGCTTATCCAGCCAATTCTTGGTGGCCCTGAGGCAAAGCTGAAGAAGTTGCTGCAGGCACAGGAGAAGATGGGTCCTCCCTCTGCTGCTACTTCCTCTCAGCAGCAGCAGCAGCAGCAGCAGCAGCAGAGGACCTGTCCCCTTGAGGAGAGGGCCCCTACTAAGGAAGAGTTAAGGGCCCTTCGTCGTGCTGCAGCAGACGAGGAGAATTTCTCTCCTGCTGGTATACCTAAGATATGGATGGGTTTGCTGCTGCCCTCCTTAAAGAAAAAACCTGCTGCTGCTGCTGCTGCTGCTGCTGCTGTTGCTCCTGCAGCAGCAGCAGCAATAGCAGCAGATGAGGAAGAAGAGTTCGTGTGTCAAGGTCTATTCCCTTGTTATACATATGATGATTTCTTTAATAAGGCTGTCCCCTTGCTGCAGCTGCTGCATGCATCTCTTGCCTTCGCCCCCCGGTTGCTGCTAGGGGTATTAGGTATATGCAGGGATTATGCTGCTGCTGCTGCTGCTGCTCGTGCTAAGGGACAGCAGCAGCAGCAAGATTGGAGGAACGATAGACTTGTAAGAAGAATAGGCACTCTGCAACACTAGCTGCTGCTGCTGCTGCTGCTCCTCCTCCTCCTGTAACTCCCTGTGCTGCTGCTGCTGCATCAGAGCTGCTGCTGCTGCTGCTGCTGCTGCTGCTGTTGCTATTAAGCTGTTCCTGTATCCTCTGAATTCGCTGAAGAGACGATCCTAATGCAAATAATATCCTCCTGCCTTTGCTGCTGCTGCTGTTGCTGCTGCTGCTGCTGTTGCTGTTGCTGTTGTTGCTGCAGATCCCCTTTATGGCGGAAATAATATTCCCTAGTATATCTCAATTACTTCATGGCTCTCCTCTTATTAATGAACATTTATGGCAAACTTTGTCTCTTTTTCCTTCCTATAAAAGATATTTTATTTATGATTTAGTTATGCAGGCATGGAGACAGGGGAATTGCCCTATAGTAAGTTTATTTATTTATTTATTTATTTATTTATTTTATTTATTTTATTTATTTAATTTATTTATTTAATTTATTTTATTTTATTTATTTATTATTGCTAAATATGTATGCATGCATTATTTATATTTATATTTATATTAATTATTATTATCTGTCCTTCCCTCCCCCTGTAACTACTACTATTACTACTACTCCTACTACTCCTACTGCTGCTCCTACTACTGCTGCTGCTGCTCCTACTACTGCTGCTGCTGCTGCTGCTGCTGCTGCTGCTGCTGCAGGCATTAAACTATGAAATATCTCGTATAAAGTTAAGGAAATTACTAAAAAGATTAACATCTACTATATTCCTTAAGAATACAAAAGATACAGATAAACATATATTAACAGATATATCTTTTCTTTCTCTTTCTTCTCCTCTTCCTCTTGCTGAGGCTGCTGTTACACAAGCTGATCTATTTGATTCTAATATGGTAAACCACTAAACCCTAAACCCTAAACCCTAAACCCTAATATGAGTCTAATCTCTAAACCCTAAACCCTAGGAAAAGTCTAAACCCTAAATTGTCACAAGAGTGTAAACCCTAAATCCTAACAATACTGTTAACAGTAAACCCTAGGTAGTGGAGGGGAAGGGGTAGTAGGATCGTTTTATGTGTGTTGGGATCGAGTGTGGGGTCTGGGATCGGGATCGGGATCGGGATCGTGTATTTTTTTTTTTTTTTTTTTTTTTTTTTTTTA